TGGGAGGAGCCCTCGTACGTGCCCGCAATCGGAAATGACGAGGGGAAGAGATGGGTGCGGGAGGAGGAGAGCCGCTAACAGCGGATCAGGAACGAAAACTGCATGGAGAAGGAACAGGAGGGGAAGGAACACGAACGAGGCAAGGAGAGACAGGTGCAGAAGGAGGAGAGCGGCTAACTGGATCGGGAGCGAAAACGGCGTGGAGAAGGAACGGGAGTGGAAGGAACAGGAACGAGGCAAGGAGAGAGGGGTGCAGGAGAAGGAAAGCGGCTAACAGGGAAAACAGCGTGGACAGGCACGGGGAAGGACAGGATCTCACCGTATAATCAGCCCCCCTTTAACCTGCACAAGTCATCTTACACATTTGGTATTATAGTAATTAATATACTCAGTTTCTTCGGAATAACCTGGGCGCATACAGTCCAGAAGGCACGACAGAAAAAAACGAAGATGGCCGAAGCCACCCTCGCTACACTCCACAAGCTCAAAGAAGGATAGTGTTATTGATAAACTTCACGAATGTTCCTTGTGTCCTGTGTCACAAATTCGTTGTTTAAAGAGGAAAAATACACCTTATGGTAGCTGAATTTCTTTCCAAATTTAAGGACCGGTGCCTCCAGGGCCATGCTTTGTGCGAAATTTCGTGCCAGCGTATTCAGCTGAATGGATTTCCTGGTGTGAGCTTCTATTTTTTCCAAATAACCTTTCTATGCCTGGCACTTCATCCTTCATGTATGTCTTCAGAACGTACTTTCCTTTAGGGAGTCCAGCAATGACATTTTTCCAAATAGGCCTCACGAAAAGTGCCATTGGAAAATGGTTTTTTGCTGTAGTGAGATGGTGACCTCAAACGGATCTAGCCACCCTATGCCATCTGCTATGGAAAACTCTTTAAGTGTGGGACAATTAACTTGCCTAAATCCAACATTTGGCTGAGTGACACATACGGAACAACTGACGACTTCACCACTCTTGGGCATCGGCCTTCGTCTTTAGAACTCTCCTTGTCTAGTACTAGTAGTAGGCTCGCTTTGGTGGCTTTCTGGCTTGTTCGAGGGAAAACCTTCAATAAATCTGATGTGGATTACCTTCCAGTTTTGGATTTGGCTCTCGTCTGTGTAAGAGGGGCCGCTTTCTCCGGCGAGCACACTGCACTCCAAATTTGTATTTAAATGGACTTTACAGGCGCCTTTAATGTTTTCGAGTGTCACTTCTTTCTCCTCCAATGACACTAGGGTTAAACGTCCGATTCGGGAATACTTCTGGCATTTTCCTTCCACGTTGGCAGGGTCTCCAACCATTCCGCATTCTGCGGAATCATTACGATTTCTAGGCTTAATTTCTGCATTCCGCAGCGGCAAGGCTATATTTCTCATTTCAGTTGCACTGTATAAAATTTGCACTGATTGTTCGCATTGTTCGCTTGGACACATTGTTTTTTTTTAGCCGGTGCCTGGCACTGGCCACGCGCTGGTGCAGTAGAGATGCAGCAAGTTTATTAATAGCCGTCACTGCGCGAGTCGTTTCTTGGAAATGCACGCTCTGCCATTACCTTAGTTTTGCACCCCTTAGCATCGCTCAGTGTTATAATGTGTTTCTATGCATTTTGTATCTGGCATGTCTACGGTAAATGGAACAGCCTAGTCAGACAGGCGCTGTCTGTAAGGTGTCGCGTAGTTTGTCTGCTAATCAGATTAACACGTGGGGAGAATGGCGTCCAATAGCCATTGCCATCCAAAAAACCCGACTTACAGAAATTCAGGAACGAATATACACAGATGTGGCCTGTACTTGTGAAGTCAAAACTCGGTGTTAATCATGGCTATTGCATGGTATGCAAGACAGACTTTCAAGTGGGGCACGGTGGAAGGAGTGACAGCCAGAGGCATATATAGTCTCTCAAAAGCACAAGTGATATGCGGTTGCAGTGGAATCTATACCCAATATATCAAGCTTCTTTGCAGCAGATAGAGAATTGTCTGTCTTGACGCAGAAATGAGATTTACGGATTATTTAATTGAACACAATGTGCCTTTGAGGGCGGCAGACCATGCAAATGAATTCTTCAAGAAAATGTTTCCAGACTCACAAATAGCCAAAAAGTATGGTTGCAAACATACAAAAACACGTGAAATTGTGAGAAATTACCTTACCTGTGTTTTAATACAAGTATTATTACTATAGTAACCAAACTGTGTACGCTCTGAAAAGTCATGAAAAGTGTTTTGAATCCTAACTTATAGGGTTGAATCTAGGGTTGAGATAGTGTCATCAGACATGAGAATATGGCCCACAGTATGCCTCAGATTGCAGGAAAATGGCTTAAATATTTCAAAATTTATCCCCCTAGCACTAGCATGCCTACGGCACGCGGGACTGCCTGCGGCAGCCAGGGTTAATTTCGCCCCCCACCTGTCCATCAATTTCATTCCGCATTTGGAGTTCACAGGGTTGGAGACCCTGCGTTGGCAGACAGCCTCTGTATGGTGATGCCACCCGCTAACTCGGCCGCTCCAACTCCATTATCGCCCTTACCTTGTTGTTTCTTTGCGACGTTTCCTTTATAGTTGTCCCAGGCGTGTCTACACCTACACATCTATCCCATCACATCCGAAAAATAAATTACATTATTAAAAAAATTAAAAAATTAAAGCTAGGGCCAATCAAGTTATTTTCTCCTGTTCATCTCAGCCACTCAGACGTCGTGCACTCAGAGGAGATTTAGAGCTTGATGAACTTGTAAAACTTGCCAGATCACTAGAGATTAGTGAAATACAGGCCACAAAAGTAGAGACCTCACACCAAACCTCTACTGCCTCCGTGTATGCCATCCACGACAGACAACATAGTGCACATCGCCGTAACAGCAGGCCCCCCAACAGAGGGCGCTCCATGTCACGTGGTAGAAATCGACGCCACTACAGCCAGAGTAACAAATCGACAGGAAAGTCAGGTTTGTGTGACTACTGTGGCTACCAAGCATCACACTCTCGCTGCCCTGCCAGAGGGAAAACCTGCAGTGCCTGTCTTAAGATTGGACACTTTTCCAGAGTATGCAGATCGTCGCGTGGACAGAATGGACGGCACCACCGACAAGAGGCACCATCACACCAGTCAGCCAACATGATACGGCCACACCAACCAGACAACGACAGCGACACAGACTATGCCTTCACCGCTCATGAAGTGCCATACCCCAGTGAGAATATCCTTTCCAACAAGGCGCCCAGGAGCAGACTTCCAACACGCTCCGTGAGGATTGGCAATACAGCCATCAACATGACAATAGACACAGGCGCCTCTGTCAACATCATTGACTCAGACACTTATGAGAAACTCCGCTGCCTTCAGCCACTCGAGCCACCAACGTCGCTGGTATACCCATATGGATCATCAACTCCACTGCCTATGCTAGGGGTCACCACAGCCCTGATGTCATTCAAAGACTGTCACACGTCAGCACGTATTCACATCGTTAAAGGTAAAGGAGGCAACCTCCTTAGTTTCCAGACTGCACAGGACCTCGGCATCCTGTCACTAGCTCAGAATGTGAGAGAACAATCAAAGCCTTCTGCTGACTGCTACACACAGCGAATATATGGTGAATACCCAGACCTCTTCGAGGGAATAGGAAAATTCCGCAACAAAGTTGTGACCCTCCACATCGATGAGACAGTACAGCCTAAACAGCAACCTCACCGACGCATTCCGTTTCACATCAGAAAAGACGTGGAGAAAGAGCTCAAGCGCCTTGAGGACCTCGACATCATAGAGAAAGCCGAAGGACCAACTCCATGGGTCAGTCCACTCGTCGTGGTGCCAAAGAAAAGCGGCGAATTCCGTCTGTGTGTCGATATGAGAGAGGCCAACAAAGCTGTTAAGAGAGTCAAACACCTCATGCCAACAATTGACGACCTTATAACAGACCTAAATGGCTCAACCGTCTTCAGCACCTTAGATCTTGCCTCCGGGTATCACCAGCTTGAGCTAGACCCGAACAGCCGCCACATCACCACCTTTAGCTCACATGTCGCCCTGTACAGATACAAAAGACTGATGTTTGGAATAAACGCAGCATCCGAGATATTCCAGAATGCTGTAGAGGAGACGATACGCGACATTCCTGGTGTCAAGAACATCTCAGACGATATTGTGGTGCACGGCAAAGACCAAGCCGAACATGATCAGCGGCTACACACTGTTCTACACCGCCTACGCCAGGTGAATGCCAAGCTCAACAAGAACAAGTGTAAACTGTCCCAGGCATCTGTGACATTCTACGGTCACATCTTCAGCAGCGAAGGTGTTAGAGCAGATCCTCAAAAGGTTGAAGCCATAACAAGTGCCAGTCCACCTACCAACGTCTCGGAATTAAGATCATTCCTGGGCATGGCTCAATATGTTGCCCGATTCATGCCTAACTTTGCTACCGTCACCACACACTCAGACAGCTGACTCGCCAAGATGCCCATGGCAATGGGAAGAAAGCCACACCGAAGCCTTCAACAAGCTGAAGCAAGCCCTCTCGTCAGCACAGATAATGACGTACTTCGACCCACAAAGACTCAGATCTGATGGTTGATGCTAGCCCAACGGCGCCTCGGAGCAATACTGACTCAAGACGGAAAGATAGTCAGCTACGCCAGCAAAGCGTTAACCGACGTGGAACGACGATACTCCCAGACTGAGCGGGAGATGCTGGCCACTGTATGGGGTACAGAACATTTCCACCTTTACCTTTACGGCTCTGCATTCACATCCTCCACGATCACAAGCCACTAATCGGTATCTTCAAAAGCCAGAGGCCAGCAACTGCACGAATAGAACGCTGGAGACTCCGTCTCACACCCTACAACTTCCAGCTGAAATACCGTCCCGGTAAAGATGACAAGAATCCCGCCGACTACCTGAGTCGCCACCCTGCCTCAAAAACACCATCCAAGACTGACAGAGCTGAGGACTTTGTTAATTACGTCTGTAAGAATGCTGTGCCAAAAGCAATGACTATGGAGCAAGTGGCAGAAGAAACTAAAACAGACACCAAGCTCCAAGCAGTCATGACATCCATCCGGATGGGCAAGTGGGAACCCCTGGTCCAAAGTTTCAAGAAAGTCTGGCAAGAACTAACAGTCTGTGGAGATATCATCCTCCGTGGATCACGTATAGTACTGCCGTCCAGTCTCCATGCCCAAGCTGTTAGTCTCGCCCATGCAGGCCACCAGGGAATAGTCAAAACCAAACAGCTGCTCCGGGAAAAAGTTTGGTTCCCTAACATAGACTCCATAGCCGAAGACACAGTAAAACAGTGCCTACCATGTCAGGCATCTTCCAGTCATTCCAGCCCACCAGAACCGCTCAAGCCTAGACCGTTGCCTGGCGGCCCATGGAAAGAAATCTCCATTGACTTTCTTGGCCCACTTCCGTCGGGTGATGTGCTTTTGGTTGCCATAGACAACTACAGTCGTTTCCCTGAGGTAGAGATTATATCGTCAACTTCTGCAAAGACTGTTATACCCAAGTTAGACGCAATGTTCGCTAGACATGGCATCCCAGAAACTGTCTATTCTGACAATGGACCACCTTTCAACAGCGAAGACTTCAAAATGTTCGCCAAACACCTTGGATTCAGGCACAGACCTGTCACACCACTATGGCCGCAAGCCAACGGGGAGGCTGAACATTTCATGAGCCCCCTCATGAAGTCCATCAGAGCTGCTCATGTTGACCACAGAAGTTGGAAGCAGGAGTTTAACACATTCCTGAGACAATACCGAGCAACTCCTCATGCCACTACTGCTGTTTCTCCAGCCGAAGCCCTATATAACAGGCAAATCAGGACCACACTTCCATCACGCAGCCTACCAGCTGTTGCTTCTAGGAACGTCCACAAGGTCATCAAGACAACAGACGAGCTGAGAAAGGCTAAGGCAAAGGCCTATTACGACAGCCGCAAGAACGCCAAAGTCTCGCCACTCTCCATAGGCGACACAGTACTGGTCAAACAGCGCCGCACGAATAAGATGTCCACTCCATTCGACCCTCAGCCTCTGACCATCACCGCTAGGAAGGGCTCCATGGTAACTGCAACAAGGGGTGGATACAGTGTGACACGGAATGTCTCCTACTTCAAACCATTCCAATGGAGACTACCGGAACCCGATGCCTTAGAGTTAGACGACCCAATCAGACCACCAAAGGACCCTCCAGGACATCCGAATAACACACCCCTGAGACCCTGTCTGAGGAGTCCAGAAAGACATCGAACAGACCGGAGAGAACAAGTCGTCCTCCTGTCCGCTTCAAGGACTACGTATGTCTATGCACATACACATAGGTTGTGAAAACCACATGGGAGTGAAGTGCTGGTAACCTCTCCTCCCAATTTGCTCAATAACAATGAGGACCAATATCTCTAGTATAGTATGTAGTATGCAGTATGCAATCTCTAGTATAGTGTGCAATTTCAAAATTCTGTGACTTTCATCAGTGTGCAATTTTGAGATTAATGTCAGTTAATAACTTCAATAATTTTAGTCTTGTTAATAGTGATTTTAGTTTTAACTCGAAGTAATTTCTAACTAAAGAGGGGAGAGATGTTGTGTTGTGTATTGAAATCTTGGTTACAACATTGTGCTGCCACCTATACGGTGTTATGGTAACTATGTAGGCTACCCATAAGTCTCTCTCTTTCCGGTGTACCATGTAATAACGGCATGCAATAATACGAGTTCCATTTACAAGAGCAGATTATTCTTTATATAAGAACTTTGAATACAATACCCGCTATACGCATTCGCGCGCCCGCCTTCCTTCGGCGCGCGACATGCGTATAGCGGGAGCTATATAGCTATACATCCCGCGGTCGCGTGCGCCCAGTCCCGCGGAGTGCGCGCTTAACGCGCTTTCGCGGTCGGGGAACAACGCATCTTTTGCGCAAGGCCATCTTGTATCCGGTCTCTCTGGATAAAATCATGAGTGAAGTGGCTGGGTTGCATGAATAGGGAGTGCTTAACAGTGCTCTCTCTATAGTCTTGGCCCATATAAAAATCCTTAGCCGTTTAAATAAAATTTCTTTAAATAGCATAAATGTATTTAAATTATATTATATATAAGATTATAAGATATATATATTTAATATATAAGATATAAGATATATAATCTTAATATATCTTATAATCTATTAATATATCTTATTAGATTATATTATAATTATATCTTATAATCTATATATATATATTCTTATATATATATATAGATATATATATAAGATTATAAGATATTATATGATATAATTCCATAGTGCAATATTATTCTTATTTATTATTTTTGTTATTGGTTTTTTATTATTATGCCCAAGTTAGGTAGGCCTAGCCTACTTGTAATTGGAGTTGTGGGGCCATGATTAAGTTTGCTAAGTCAGGAAACCTAATGATAACAATTGACGGCAAACTATAGGATATCTACTATATAGGCCCTACACTTCTACGGGGAAGTGATATTATGAAAATATCGACATGCGGCTAGCGACCAGGCATC